CTTCAAGCTGTCCAAGGGGTAGGCCAGACTGAAACACAGTAGGTAACTCCATCCCACTTCAAGCTGTCCAAGGAGTAGGCCAGACTGAAACACAGTAGGTAACTCCGTCCCACTTCAAGCTGTCCAAGGGGTAGGCCAGACTGAAACACAGTAGGTAACTCCGTCCCTTCTCAAGCTGTTCAAGGGGCAGGCCAGACTGAAACACAGTAGGTAACTCCATCCCACTTCAAGCTGTCCAAGGGGTAGGCCAGACTGAAACACAGTAGGTAACTCTGTCCCACTTCAAGCTGTCCAAGGGGCAGACCAGACTGAAACACAGTAGGTAACTCTGTCCCACTTCAAGCTGTCCAAGGGGTAGGCTAGACTGAAACACAGTAGGTAACTCTGTCCCACTTCAAGCTGTCCAAGGGGTAGGCCAGACTGAAACACAGTAGGTAACTCCATCCCACTTCAGGCTGTCCAAGGGGTAGGCTAGACTGAAACACAGTAGGTAACTCCGTCCCACTTCAAGCTGTCCAAGGGGTAGGCCAGACTGAAACACAGTAGGTAACTCCGTCCCACTTCAAGCTGTCCAAGGAGTAGGCCAGACTGAAACACAGTAGGTAACTCCGTCCCACTTCAAGCTGTCCAAGGGGCAGACCAGACTGAAACACAGTAGGTAACTCCGTCCCACTTCAAGCTGTCAAAGGAGCAGGCCAGACTGAAACACAGTAGGTAACTCCATCCCACTTCAAGCTGTCCAAGGAGTAGGCTAGACTGAAACACAGTAGGTAACTCTGTCCCACTTCAAGCTGTCCAAGGAGTAGGCTAGACTGAAACACAGTAGGTAACTCCATCCCACTTCAAGCTGTCCAAGGAGTAGGCTAGACTGAAACACAGTAGGTAACTCTGTCCCACTTCAAGCTGTCCAAGGAGTAGGCTAGACTGAAACACAGTAGGTTACTCCATCCCACTTCAAGCTGTCCAAGGAGTAGGCTAGACTGAAACACAGTAGGTAACTCTGTCCCACTTCAAGCTGTCCAAGGAGTAGGCTAGACTGAGACACAGTAGGTAACTCCGTCCCTTCTCAAGCTGTTCAAGGGGCAGGCCAGACTGAAACACAGTAGGTAACTCCATCCCACTTCAAGCTGTCCAAGGGGTAGGCCAGACTGAAACACAGTAGGTAACTCCATCCCACTTCAAGCTGTCCAAGGAGTAGGCTAGACTGAAACACAGTAGGTAACTCCGTCCCACTTCAAGCTGTCCAAGGGGCAGACCAGACTGAAACACAGTAGGTAACTCCGTCCCACTTCAAGCTGTCAAAGGAGCAGGCCAGACTGAAACACAGTAGGTAACTCCATCCCACTTCAAGCTGTCCAAGGAGTAGGCCAGACTGAAACACAGTAGGTAACTCCATCCCACTTCAAGCTGTCCAAGGGGCAGACCAGACTGAAACACAGTAGGTAACTCCGTCCTACTACAAGCTGTCAAAGGAGCAGGCCAGACTGAAACACAGTAGGTAACTCCATCCCACTTCAAGCTGTCCAAGGAGTAGGCTAGACTGAAACACAGTAGGTAACTCTGTCCCACTTCAAGCTGTTCAAGGGGTAGGCCAGACTGAAACACAGTAGATAACTCCATCCCACTTCAAGCTGTCCAAGGAGCAGACCAGACTGAAACACAGTAGGTAACTCTGTCCCACTTCAAGCTGTCCAAGGGGTAGGCCAGACTGAAACACAGTAGGTAACTCTGTACCACTTCAAGCTGTCCAAGGGGCAGACCAGACTGAAACACAGTAGGTAACTCTGTCCCACTTCAAGCTGTCCAAGGGGTAGGCCAGACTGAAACACAGTAGGTAACTCTGTCCCACTTCAAGCTGTCCAAGGGGTAGGCCAGACTGAAACACAGTAGGTAACTCCATCCCACTTCAGGCTCTCCAAGGGGTAGGCTAGACTGAAACACAGTAGGTAACTCCGTCCCACTTCAAGCTGTCCAAGGGGTAGGCCAGACTGAAACACAGTAGGTAACTCCGTCCCACTTCAAGCTGTCCAAGGAGTAGGCCAGACTGAAACACAGTAGGTAACTCTGTCCCACTTCAAGCTGTCCAAGGAACAGGCCAGACTGAAACACAGTAGGTAACTCCGTCCCACTTCAAGCTGTCCAAGGGGTAGGCCAGACTGAAACACAGTAGGTAACTCCATCCCACTTCAGGCTGTCCAAGGGGTAGGCCAGACTGAAACACAGTAGGTAACTCCGTCCCACTTCAAGCTGTCAAAGGAGCAGGCCAGACTGAAACACAGTAGGTAACTCCATCCCACTTCAAGCTGTCCAAGGGGCAGACCAGACTGAAACACAGTAGCTAACTCTGTCCCACTTCAAGCTGTCCAAGGGGTAGGCCAGACTGAAACACAGTAGGTAACTCCGTCCCACTTCAAGCTGTCAAAGGAGCAGGCTAGACTGAAACACAGTAGGTAACTCTGTCCCACTTCAAGCTGTCCAAGGGGTAGGCCAGACTGAAACACAGTAGGTAACTCCGTCCCACTTCAAGCTGTCCAAGGAGTAGGCCAGACTGAAACACAGTAGGTAACTCCGTCCCACTTCAAGCTGTCCAAGGGGTAGGCCAGACTGAAACACAGTAGGTAACTCCGTCCCTTCTCAAGCTGTTCAAGGGGCAGGCCAGACTGAAACACAGTAGGTAACTCCGTCCCACTTCAAGCTGTCCAAGGGGTAGGCCAGACTGAAACACAGTAGGTAACTCTGTACCACTTCAAGCTGTCCAAGGGGCAGACCAGACTGAAACACAGTAGGTAACTCTGTCCCACTTCAAGCTGTCCAAGGGGTAGGCCAGACTGAAACACAGTAGGTAACTCTGTCCCACTTCAAGCTGTCCAAGGGGTAGGCCAGACTGAAACACAGTAGGTAACTCCATCCCACTTCAGGCTGTCCAAGGGGTAGGCTAGACTGAAACACAGTAGGTAACTCCGTCCCACTTCAAGCTGTCCAAGGGGTAGGCCAGACTGAAACACAGTAGGTAACTCCGTCCCCCTCCAAGCTGTCCAAGGAGCAGGCCAGACTGAAACACAGTAGGTAACTCTGTCCCACTTCAAGCTGTCCAAGGAACAGGCCAGACTGAAACACAGTAGGTAACTCCGTCCCACTTCAAGCTGTCCAAGGGGTAGGCCAGACTGAAACACAGTAGGTAACTCTGTCCCACTTCAAGCTGTCCAAGGAGTAGGCTAGACTGAAACACAGTAGGTAACTCTGTCCCACTTCAAGCTGTCCAAGGGGTAGGCCAGACTGAAACACAGTAGGTAACTCCGTCCTACTTCAAGCTGTCCAAGGAGTAGGCCAGACTGAAACACAGTAGGTAACTCTGTCCCACTTCAAGCTGTCCAAGGGGCAGACCAGACTGAAACACAGTAGGTAACTCCGTCCCACTTCAAGCTGTCAAAGGAGCAGGCCAGACTGAAACACAGTAGGTAACTCCATCCCACTTCAAGCTGTCCAAGGGGTAGGCCAGACTGAAACACAGTAGGTAACTCCGTCCCACTTCAAGCTGTCCAAGGGATAGGCCAGACTGAAACACAGTAGGTAACTCCGTCCCTTCTCAAGCTGTTCAAGAGGCAGGCCAGACTGAAACACAGTAGGTAACTCCATCCCACTTCAAGCTGTCCAAGGGGTAGGCCAGACTGAAACACAGTAGGTAACTCCATCCCACTTCAAGCTGTCCAAGGGGTAGGCCAGACTGAAACACAGTATGTAACTCTGTACCACTTCAAGCTGTCCAAGGGGCAGACCAGACTGAAACACAGTAGGTAACTCTGTCCCACTTCAAGCTGTCTAAGGGGTAGGCCAGACTTAAACACAGTAGGTAACTCCGTCCCTTCTCAAGCTGTTCAAGGGGCAGGCCAGACTGAAACACAGTAGGTAACTCCATCCCACTTCAAGCTGTCCAAGGGGTAGGCCAGACTGAAACACAGAAGGTAACTCCATCCCACTTCAAGCTGCCGAAGGGGTAGGCCAGACTGAAACACAGTAGGTAACTCTGTACCACTTCAAGCTGTCCAAGGGGCAGACCAGACTGAAACACAGTAGGTAACTCCATCCCACTTCAGGCTGTCCAAGGGGTAGGCTAGACTGAAACACAGTAGGTAACTCCGTCCCACTTCAAGCTGTCCAAGGGGTAGGCCAGACTGAAAGACAGTAGGTAACTCCGTCCCACTTCAAGCTGTCCAAGGAGTAGGCCAGACTGAAACACAGTAGATAACTCTGTCCCACTTCAAGCTGTCCAAGGAACAGGCCAGACTGAAACACAGTAGGTAACTCCGTCCCACTTCAAGCTGTCCAAGGGGTAGGCCAGACTGAAACACAGTAGGTAACTCCGTCCCACTTCAAGCTGTCCAAGGAGAAGGCCAGACTGAAACACAGTAGGTAACCCCATCCCACTTCAAGCTGTCCAAGGAGTAGGCCAGACTGAAACACAGTAGGTAACTCCGTCCCACTTCAAGCTGTTCAAGGGGTAGGCCAGACTGAAACATAGTAGGTAACTCTGTCCCACTTCAAGCTGTCCAAGGAGTAGGCCAGACTGAAACACAGTAGGTAACTCTGTCCCACTTCAAGCTGTCCAAGGGGTAGGCCAGACTGAAACACAGTAGGTAACTCCGTCCCTTCTCAAGCTGTTCAAGGGGCAGGCCAGACTGAAACACAGTAGGTAACTCTGTCCCACTTCAAGCTGTCCAAGGAGTAGGCCAGACTGAAACACAGTAGGTAACTCCGTCCCACTTCAAGCTGTCCAAGGGGTAGGCCAGACTGAAACACAGTAGGTAACTCCGTCCCACTTCAAGCTGTCAAAGGAGCAGGCCAGACTGAAACACAGTAGGTAACTCCATCCCACTTCAAGCTGTCCAAGGGGTAGGCCAGACTGAAACACAGTAGGTAACTCCGCCCCTTCTCAAGCTGTCCAAGGGGTAGGCCAGACTGAAACACAGTAGGTAACTCCGTCCCCCTCCAAGCTGTCCAAGGAGCAGGCCAGACTGAAACACAGTAGGTAACTCTGTCCCACTTCAAGCTGTCCAAGGAACAGGCCAGACTGAAACACAGTAGGTAACTCCGTCCCACTTCAAGCTGTCCAAGGGGTAGGCCAGACTGAAACACAGTAGGTAACTCTGTCCCACTTCAAGCTGTCCAAGGAGTAGGCTAGACTGAAACACAGTAGGTAACTCTGTCCCACTTCAAGCTGTCCAAGGGGTAGGCCAGACTGAAACACAGTAGGTAACTCCGTCCTACTTCAAGCTGTCCAAGGAGTAGGCCAGACTGAAACACAGTAGGTAACTCTGTCCCACTTCAAGCTGTCCAAGGGGCAGACCAGACTGAAACACAGTAGGTAACTCCGTCCCACTTCAAGCTGTCAAAGGAGCAGGCCAGACTGAAACACAGTAGGTAACTCCATCCCACTTCAAGCTGTCCAAGGGGTAGGCCAGACTGAAACACAGTAGGTAACTCCGTCCCACTTCAAGCTGTCCAAGGGATAGGCCAGACTGAAACACAGTAGGTAACTCCGTCCCTTCTCAAGCTGTTCAAGAGGCAGGCCAGACTGAAACACAGTAGGTAACTCCATCCCACTTCAAGCTGTCCAAGGGGTAGGCCAGACTGAAACACAGTAGGTAACTCCATCCCACTTCAAGCTGTCCAAGGGGTAGGCCAGACTGAAACACAGTATGTAACTCTGTACCACTTCAAGCTGTCCAAGGGGCAGACCAGACTGAAACACAGTAGGTAACTCTGTCCCACTTCAAGCTGTCTAAGGGGTAGGCCAGACTTAAACACAGTAGGTAACTCCGTCCCTTCTCAAGCTGTTCAAGGGGCAGGCCAGACTGAAACACAGTAGGTAACTCCATCCCACTTCAAGCTGTCCAAGGGGTAGGCCAGACTGAAACACAGAAGGTAACTCCATCCCACTTCAAGCTGCCGAAGGGGTAGGCCAGACTGAAACACAGTAGGTAACTCTGTACCACTTCAAGCTGTCCAAGGGGCAGACCAGACTGAAACACAGTAGGTAACTCCATCCCACTTCAGGCTGTCCAAGGGGTAGGCTAGACTGAAACACAGTAGGTAACTCCGTCCCACTTCAAGCTGTCCAAGGGGTAGGCCAGACTGAAAGACAGTAGGTAACTCCGTCCCACTTCAAGCTGTCCAAGGAGTAGGCCAGACTGAAACACAGTAGATAACTCTGTCCCACTTCAAGCTGTCCAAGGAACAGGCCAGACTGAAACACAGTAGGTAACTCCGTCCCACTTCAAGCTGTCCAAGGGGTAGGCCAGACTGAAACACAGTAGGTAACTCCGTCCCACTTCAAGCTGTCCAAGGAGAAGGCCAGACTGAAACACAGTAGGTAACCCCATCCCACTTCAAGCTGTCCAAGGAGTAGGCCAGACTGAAACACAGTAGGTAACTCCGTCCCACTTCAAGCTGTTCAAGGGGTAGGCCAGACTGAAACATAGTAGGTAACTCTGTCCCACTTCAAGCTGTCCAAGGAGTAGGCCAGACTGAAACACAGTAGGTAACTCTGTCCCACTTCAAGCTGTCCAAGGGGTAGGCCAGACTGAAACACAGTAGGTAACTCCGTCCCTTCTCAAGCTGTTCAAGGGGCAGGCCAGACTGAAACACAGTAGGTAACTCTGTCCCACTTCAAGCTGTCCAAGGAGTAGGCCAGACTGAAACACAGTAGGTAACTCCGTCCCACTTCAAGCTGTCCAAGGGGTAGGCCAGACTGAAACACAGTAGGTAACTCCGTCCCACTTCAAGCTGTCAAAGGAGCAGGCCAGACTGAAACACAGTAGGTAACTCCATCCCACTTCAAGCTGTCCAAGGGGTAGGCCAGACTGAAACACAGTAGGTAACTCCGCCCCTTCTCAAGCTGTCCAAGGGGTAGGCCAGACTGAAACACAGTAGGTAACTCCGTCCCACTTCAAGCTGTCCAAGGAGCAGGCCAGACTGAAACACAGTAGGTAACTCCATCCCACTTCAAGCTGTCCAAGGGGTAGGCCAGACTGAAACACAGTAGGTATCTCCGTCCCACTTCAAGCTGTCCAAGGGGTAGGCCAGACTGAAACACAGTAGGTAACTCTGTCCCACTTCAAGCTGTCCAAGGAGCAGGCCAGACTGAAACACAGTAGGTAACTCTGTCCCACTTCAAGCTGTCCAAGGGGTAGGCCAGACTGAAACACAGTAGGTAACTCCGTCCCTTCTCAAGCTGTTCAAGGGGCAGGCCAGACTGAAACACAGTAGGTAACTCTGTCCCACTTCAAGCTGTCCAAGGAGTAGGCCAGACTGAAACACAGTAGGTAACTCCGTCCCACTTCAAGCTGTCCAAGGGGTAGGCCAGACTGAAACACAGTAGGTAACTCCGTCCCACTTCAAGCTGTCAAAGGAGCAGGCCAGACTGAAACACAGTAGGTAACTCCATCCCACTTCAAGCTGTCCAAGGGGTAGGCCAGACTGAAACACAGTAGGTAACTCCGCCCCTTCTCAAGCTGTCCAAGGGGTAGGCCAGACTGAAACACAGTAGGTAACTCCGTCCCACTTCAAGCTGTCCAAGGAGCAGGCCAGACTGAAACACAGTAGGTAACTCCATCCCACTTCAAGCTGTCCAAGGGGTAGGCCAGACTGAAACACAGTAGGTAACTCCGTCCCACTTCAAGCTGTCCAAGGGGTAGGCCAGACTGAAACACAGTAGGTAACTCTGTCCCACTTCAAGCTGTCCAAGGAGCAGGCCAGACTGAAACACAGTAGGTAATTCTGTCCCACTTCAAGCTGTCCAAGGGGCAGGCCAGACTGAAACACAGTAGGTAATTCTGTCCCACTTCAAGCTGTTCAAGGAACAGGCCAGGCTGAAACACAGTAGGTAACTCCATCCCACTTCAAGCTGTCCAAGGGGTAGGCCAGACTGAAACACAGTAGGTAACTCTGTACCACTTCAAGCTGTCAAAGGAGCAGGCCAGACTGAAACACAGTAGGTAACTCCATCCCACTTCAAGCTGTCCAAGGGGTAGGCCAGACTGAAACACAGTAGGTAACTCTGTCCCACTTCAAGCTGTCTAAGGGGTAGGCCAGACTTAAACACAGTAGGTAACTCCGTCCCTTCTCAAGCTGTTCAAGGGGCAGGCCAGACTGAAACACAGTAGGTAACTCCATCCCACTTCAAGCTGTCCAAGGGGTAGGCCAGACTGAAACACAGTAGGTAACTCCATCCCACTTCAAGCTGCCGAAGGGGTAGGCCAGACTGAAACACAGTAGGTAACTCTGTACCACTTCAAGCTGTCCAAGGGGTAGGCCAGACTGAAACACAGTAGGTAACTCTGTCCCACTTCAAGCTGTCCAAGGAGCAGGCCAGACTGAAACACAGTAGGTAATTCTGTCCCACTTCAAGCTGTCCAAGGGGCAGGCCAGACTGAAACACAGTAGGTAATTCTGTCCCACTTCAAGCTGTTCAAGGAACAGGCCTGGCTGAAACACAGTAGGTAACTCCATCCCACTTCAAGCTGTCCAAGGGGTAGGCCAGACTGAAACACAGTAGGTAACTCTGTCCCACTTCAAGCTGTCAAAGGAGCAGGCCAGACTGAAACACAGTAGGTAACTCCATCCCACTTCAAGCTGTCCAAGGGGTAGGCCAGACTGAAACACAGTAGGTAACTCCGCCCCTTCTCAAGCTGTCCAAGGGGTAGGCTAGACTGAAACACAGTAGGTAACTCCGTCCCACTTCAAGCTGTCCAAGGAGCAGGCCAGACTGAAACACAGTAGGTAACTCCGTCCCACTTCAAGCTGTCAAAGGAGCAGGCCAGACTGAAACACAGTAGGTAACTCCATCCCACTTCAAGCTGTCCAAGGGGTAGGCCAGACTGAAACACAGTAGGTAACTCCGCCCCTTCTCAAGCTGTCCAAGGGGTAGGCCAGACTGAAACACAGTAGGTAACTCCGTCCCACTTCAAGCTGTCCAAGGAGCAGGCCAGACTGAAACACAGTAGGTAACTCCATCCCACTTCAAGCTGTCCAAGGGGTAGGCCAGACTGAAACACAGTAGGTAACTCCGTCCCACTTCAAGCTGTCCAAGGGGTAGGCCAGACTGAAACACAGTAGGTAACTCTGTCCCACTTCAAGCTGTCCAAGGAGCAGGCCAGACTGAAACACAGTAGGTAATTCTGTCCCACTTCAAGCTGTCCAAGGGGCAGGCCAGACTGAAACACAGTAGGTAATTCTGTCCCACTTCAAGCTGTTCAAGGAACAGGCCAGGCTGAAACACAGTAGGTAACTCCATCCCACTTCAAGCTGTCCAAGGGGTAGGCCAGACTGAAACACAGTAGGTAACTCTGTACCACTTCAAGCTGTCAAAGGAGCAGGCCAGACTGAAACACAGTAGGTAACTCCATCCCACTTCAAGCTGTCCAAGGGGTAGGCCAGACTGAAACACAGTAGGTAACTCTGTCCCACTTCAAGCTGTCTAAGGGGTAGGCCAGACTTAAACACAGTAGGTAACTCCGTCCCTTCTCAAGCTGTTCAAGGGGCAGGCCAGACTGAAACACAGTAGGTAACTCCATCCCACTTCAAGCTGTCCAAGGGGTAGGCCAGACTGAAACACAGTAGGTAACTCCATCCCACTTCAAGCTGCCGAAGGGGTAGGCCAGACTGAAACACAGTAGGTAACTCTGTACCACTTCAAGCTGTCCAAGGGGTAGGCCAGACTGAAACACAGTAGGTAACTCTGTCCCACTTCAAGCTGTCCAAGGAGCAGGCCAGACTGAAACACAGTAGGTAATTCTGTCCCACTTCAAGCTGTCCAAGGGGCAGGCCAGACTGAAACACAGTAGGTAATTCTGTCCCACTTCAAGCTGTTCAAGGAACAGGCCTGGCTGAAACACAGTAGGTAACTCCATCCCACTTCAAGCTGTCCAAGGGGTAGGCCAGACTGAAACACAGTAGGTAACTCTGTCCCACTTCAAGCTGTCAAAGGAGCAGGCCAGACTGAAACACAGTAGGTAACTCCATCCCACTTCAAGCTGTCCAAGGGGTAGGCCAGACTGAAACACAGTAGGTAACTCCGCCCCTTCTCAAGCTGTCCAAGGGGTAGGCTAGACTGAAACACAGTAGGTAACTCCGTCCCACTTCAAGCTGTCCAAGGAGCAGGCCAGACTGAAACACAGTAGGTAACTCCATCCCACTTCAAGCTGTCCAAGGGGTAGGCCAGACTGAAACACAGTAGGTAACTCCGTCCCACTTCAAGCTGTCCAAGGGGTAGGCCAGACTGAAACACAGTAGGTAACTCTGTCCCACTTCAAGCTGTCCAAGGAGCAGGCCAGACTGAAACACAGTAGGTAATTCTGTCCCACTTCAAGCTGTCCAAGGGGCAGGCCAGACTGAAACACAGTAGGTAATTCTGTCCCACTTCAAGCTGTTCAAGGAACAGGCCAGGCTGAAACACGGAGTTAACACAGAAGGTAACTGTGTTTAATGGTCAAGTTTACTCTCACAGAACAGTGTTTAATGGTCAAGTTTACTGTTACAGAACAGTATTTAATGGTCAAGTTTACTGTCACAGAACAGTGTTTAATGGTCAAGTTTACTGTCACAGAACAGTGTTTAATGGTCAAGTTTACTGTCACAGAACAGTGTTTAATGGTCAAGTTTACTCTTACAGAACAGTGTTTAATGGTCAAGTTTACTGTCACAGAACAGTGTTTAATGGTCAAGTTTACTGTCACAGAACACAGTATGCATGAAATGAAGCAGAAGCATCAACAAGAGGTGCAGGAACTGAAACAAACCCATCACTTGGAGTTGGAGCAACTAAAACACACTCAGGATTTGCAAATAAACAGCCAGAAGACCCAAGCTGACCTGGGTAGGTCAGTCTTTAAGTACAACCTCGCCTGGTGCTTCATAATCATGCTTAGCACAAGGCAGGTTTGGGACTCTACTCTTGAAGTAGTACAAATCAAACAACATAAAACTGAAACAGTCAGTGTTTACGCTTCATTTTCTGACCTGTCCCTATTCCTGTGACTGTTGGTTTCAGCAACTCCCTCAACATCCTGCAGATCAGAGTTCCCCTTGTTGTACTGGCTCTGTCAAATGTGTCTGTATCGCAAGACAGGAATAGTTACGTTCATCATACACCGAAGTTAGTCATTTGTGTCTGTACTGGAATTTCAGGCAAGAAACCATGTAAGGATAATGTATTACATCTGACCCAATCATGCCCACATCTTAACTTTAGGAATCCACTGATTGCTTGTGTAGTACAGTTTAATGGTGAGGCTGTGTAATCTGCATGTGATTGTGATGTCTCTGTCTTCAGATCACAAGAGTGCAGCTAACCATCAGAAGCTGCAATACTTGACCCAACTGCAATCCCTGGGGGTCAACCTTGACCAGTATCTGGTCAGTCAGCAGCAGCCTCCCATCAGAGAGGAGATACAAGTCATCAAGATGTAGATGTCATGACATGGTAGATGGTGGTGTTACTCACATCATATTGCTATGTTCTTCATATGGTCATGAGATATGGCTCATATCACACAACACCCATCAATATCTGGCATTCAGTGCATGCATAGTATATCTTCACAAATATATCAAATGTATTATAAATATGTGGTACTTGTTGCTTTTTCCCATTAAATGTGCAACTTATCATGTTTCTGTTCACCTCTCAGTACATAAACATGACTGGACTGTACAGCTAATGGTGACAGCTGACCTGTATGGCCATGGTATAACAGCTGCACTGTAAACTTGGTACATAATAGCTGGATTATATAACCATGGTATAACTGCAGCACTGTCAACTTTGTATAGCAGCTGGATTATATAACCATGGTATAACAGCTGCACTGTAAACTTGGTACATAATAGCTGGATTACATAACCATGGTATAACAGCAGCACTGTTAACTTTGTATAGCAGCTGGATTATATAACCATGGTATAACAGCAGCGGTCAACATTGTATAGCAGCTAGATTACATAACCATTGTATAACAGCAGCACTGTCAACATTGTATAGCAGATGGATTATATAACCATGGTATAACAGCTGGATTGTGAAACGATGGTGTAACAGTTTTGTAAACATGGTATAACAGATGGAATATATAATGATGGTATAACAACAGCACTGTAAACATGGTATAATAGCTTGTATATATAATGATGGTATATCAACAGCACTGTAAACATGGTATAATAGCTTGTATATATAATGATGGTATACCAACAGCACTGTAAACATGGTATAATAGCTGGAAAATATAATGATGGTATAACAACAGCACTGTAAACATGGTATAACAGCTGGAATATATAATGATGGTACAACAACAGCACTGTCAACATGATATAATAGCTGGAATATATAATGATGGTATAACAACAGCACTGTCAACCTGTTATAACAGCTGGAATATATAATGATGGTATAACAACAGCACTGTCAACATGGTATAATAGCTGGAATATATAATGATGGTATAACAACAGCACTGTCAACATGGTATAATAGCTGGAATATAAAATGATGGTATAACAACAGCACTGTAAACATGGTATAACAGCTGGAATATATAATGATGGTATAACAACAGCATTGTCAACATGGTATAACAGCTGGAATATATAATGATGGTATGACAACAGCACTGTAAACATGGTATAACAGCTGGAATATATAATGATGGTATGACAACAGCACTGTAAACATGGTATAACAGCTGGAATATATAATGCTGGTATGATAACAGCACTGTAAACATGGTATAACAGCTGGAATATATAATGCTGGTATGACAACAGCGCTTTTAACATGATATAACAGCTGAAATATATAATGCTGGTATGACAACTGTGCTGTAAACATGGTGTAACATCGTCACTGTATAAATGTGTATAACAGATGCACCAAATGAACATGGTAGACATGAGGAATTGCATGTAGCTTGTGTAATATGTATTATAAATCTTTGATATGCACATGATACAATTGTATTATAAATGTTTCTGTGATGAATTACTTTCCAATATAATCTTTACATCATGAAATCAGTACATCACCAAGTGAATGTGAGTTCCGACCACTAGCCTAAACTGCATTATCCATTAACTGGGAGTAGCCCTGCCTGTGACATTTATGAACAGTTATCAGCAAATGGCAACACCAAGAATGAAGTGTATCAGATTATAACAGGGTTGCAAAGTGGTCAACAAATCTGTACTGTGCACTGGCACTTGCTACTGTCCGCCTCCAGAACCTCCAGTTAGAATGGTTCTTGTGGTCACGGCAATACAAGTCTCTAAAGTGTCATTGACTAGAAAAGTGTATGCAAAGACAGAGCAGCAGGCTCTTCACCAGCATTTCCTAAAGTAGACACAGTTTATGGATAACATTTCTTTAAATACTGTAAAGGCGACGTCTCAGTATAGATCCTTATCCCATTGCCAAGCAATATATGAAAGAAAAGAGAAGGAGATGATCTACATCTGCAGTACATCCTCAAGTAACGAAAGTACAATGCCTTCAGCTTCCCTAATCTGATGCAATGACCCCAGTGTCACAGGCCGAAACATCCCTTGGCCTGGTCTTTCCCTGGGAAGTAATAACCTGGGATTGAGGTGGGGAAGGTTCTGCCTGGGCCCTATCTTTCAGCTCTTGACTCCAACCTTGGCTAGTTCTCCTCATCATGGGCCAATTCTTCTTCAGTGTGGCCAAACCTTCCCCAGGTGTTCAAACATGTATTGACACAAGGAAAGAGGTTCTAATGGCCAAGTTTCTCCCCCCCTTCCCCCCCCCCCCTCCCCCCACTTCACAATTTCTTCAGGAAAACTATACTTTATATATTTCTCATATCTTTTGAAACTTCATCTTCATATATTCATCTTCAAATATTTTAGATATTGTTAAAAAAATGTGAGTTTTCAGTGAATGAATCAATGGTAAGGAAATGGAGGACAGCGAAGCCGTCTCTTGAGGAGCTGCCAAAGACGAAGAAGGCCAGACGAGGATCCGAGACGCCATACAAGCCACTGGAAGATATTCTTTTCCAGTGGATCGGAGAGTTGCGACAGTCAGCGTGCATCGTCACACGCATGATGATTCGACAGCGAGCACTCCATGTTTACCGTACTAGGAAAGAAATGGATCTCCCGAAATCATTCAAGGCTTCGGGAAACTGGTGTTCGCGCTTCTTAAGGCGACACAACCTAGCGCTGAGTCAGAAAACACACATTGCACAGAAACTTCCTGCTGAAGTGGAAACCAAAGTGGGTTTTTTCCATCAATTTGTGATCCGTGAGCGAAAGAAGGTAGACTACGATTTAAGCCAGCTCGGCAATATGGACGAGACTCCCCTCAATTTCGACATGCCAGGATCCAGAACCATCGACACCAAGGGGACTTCGACGGTGACAGTTCGCACATGTGGGGCCGAGAAGCAACACTTCACGGTGGTCTTAACCTGCATGGCCGATGGGACCAAGCTGGACCCAATGCTTATTTTCAAACGGAAAACTATGCCGAAGGACAAGGATGGATGGATGAGTCTCTTGTACTCAAGTGGCTCGAGAACGTATGGATGCAGAGACCAGGTGCTGCCAGAGGATGCAAGTCCCTGCTTGTGTGGGATATGTTTCGTGCCCATTTGTGCGAAGCAGTGAAAAAGAAGTTGGTCGACACCAAAACACGTCAGGCCGTGATCCCCGGTGGATGCACCTCCCTGTTACAGCCACTCGACGTCTGCCTCAACAAACTGTTCAAGGCCAACGTAAGGAGTGCGTGGAATACTTGGATGATTAATGGCGACCACACATATACAAAAACAAATAAACAAAGAAAAGCACCGCTAGGAGTTGTTGCAGAATGGGTGAAGACCGCGTGGACGGACATACCAACGGACATGGTGAAACGCAGTTTTCTTAAATGTGGGATCGCCAATGCTTTGGACGGATCGGAGGACGATTGTTTATATGAAGATCTCGTCAATACAGAATCCGGGAGATCCGACACAACAGAAATAGTTGCAGACATCCCTGATGATTTCGAGGATGAATTGAACGACTACTATGACGACAGAACCGATTCAACAGCATGGGACATTCTCTGTGCCGAAGAATCCGACTCTGAATTTGATGGGTACACCGAGGCAGATCTGTGATCTGTTCTGTTCTGATGAAAGTGTAAATAAGCCAGAAAATACCTTTAACATGTATGATTTTTTGATGTATGTATTTATATTCTGAATGATGTGTGTATGCTTCTGAATTATTCTGAATGATGAATCGGTATTAAACAAATATGTGAATTAATTAAATTAAGAAAAATGGGCGTACGTAAATAAATGGCTCATAACTTGAAATATGTTGTTATGTTATTACTTCATAAATGAATTTTATTTTACGGGCACCAATTTGGTGTTGCACCGTGTAAACACAAAATGGCGACATGTGCTGGAGTTACACACGCGACCAGTCATCGTAGAAAAAAACAACGCAAGATAAACATATTTTTTTTAATATTAAGGTTTGTGCGCGCACTTGTGATGTGTTTCATTCCAGGTCGCCTTATACACGGAGTATAGGATTTTGGGTTGATTTCGAAGGCCTGTACAGGGGGGTCGTCTTATACGTAGGGTCGCCTTATACACAGCGATATACGGTAAAATGTTTCTATTTATATAAGTATGGAATATGAGGATGTAAATGTTAATGTTAAATGATGAGCTTGTATGCTGCAAGTGATATTCATAATTGTTTCTGTTAGTCTTTTGTATTCATTTCACTTGCTATTCTATAATGGTTTAATTGAAATAAACATGGAAATATGATGTAACTCAAATAGAAGATGAGTTCAGTTAGTTTAAATGATTGTAGCACGTTGTGATGAAGGAATAAAACCCTGATTATAGGTTATGAAATATGAGATTCTCAACAAATCAAATGTGAATCAACTAGTCATGTTTTTGTACAAAATTTGTCAAAATAAATAAATGGAAACTGTTGTGATAAAAAGTGTTACCTTCAAACACATGTCATTTGCATTGATATATGATTTAACACTCAGGATATTCCAAGTATTAATTGTAATGTTTACTAAAAAATGGTCATGCAATATTGTTTTCATTGGCTATTGTTATATCACCAATGATGTTATATATGAAACTGTTTTATTCGTATCATCAGGGAGAATGAAGTTACACTGATGATGACGTCATGTAACAGCCATTGTGACATCATGTGACAGTTACATTGGTTATGACCTCATCCAAATGGCGGGGGATGGTGCACAGGTTTTGAGCAGTTACATGGCAACAAAATGTGCTTGTGATGTAATATTTATGTTGTATTTAATGCATGATTGAATTAATGAATAAACTGATCTATTTTAGTTGTTTTCCGTTTGTCTATTGTATATGGATATTGTATCAAAAGGCTAAATTGTAACATGTTTAGATGTGCACTGTCAGGTATGCAGGGTAATTATGGGATATTTTATTTGCTGCTTGTGCACTCGGATTTAAGTACGCAAATATTCCGTTTATCCAATATATTGTCCTTTGCGCCCCATGCAGGTAATTACATAAATGTTGATGTGATCTGAGTTGTTCTGCCAGAATGTCATTTATGTCATCACCAAGGTCTTTGGCCCAGCCTTCCCGGGGAAAGAATTGGCCAGGGTAAGGTTTAGCCTGGCACATAGTACTTCAATTATGACCATGGATAAACTGAAATGCTCATGCTTTCTGTCTTGTTAACGATGTTTAGTCATACTTTTTGTGTGTATGGCCACAAACTTGAATGTGAAGTTGCCCTTCAATTACAAGTAATAGATATTTCATGAACAGAAGCAGGGGCTTTACAGTAGATAAAACATATGTTATCCCCGTATTTAGTTTAAACAACAGGATTATGGCATTTGTTTCAAATTGGAACATCACAGAGCCCTAGCTACCAAGTACATAAGTCATATCTGCAGGAAAAGGCATATATCAAATTGATATGTTGATGGATGGGCTCTGAACCTCACACAAGGGGAATTGTGTAACACTGATATCTTTTGCTGTTGAAGTTACATGATGTCATAGAGGTATATGCACACAAAGATAAAATCAGTAACCCATCTATACTGTCATTCAGCTTGTATCTGTCTTAGGGTCAGTCTAGTCTGGAACAAATTATATATTGTCTTGACCCCCATTGTTCTAAGATTAATCTTGGTCCGTTAATGTATAGTTCCGAACAATACCTGCCAGCAAAGTGAGAACACCCCAGACCTTAGTCCAACCATCTTAGTGCCTGGCCGTCAACTGGCTTTGTACCCCACTCAGCGCCACTTTATGGTGACGTCACGGTTTCAAAAGCGTCTCATGATATGCTACTTCAGACAACGGAGACGGGGCGTCTCTTCACAACAACACCGCCCGAATGCAAGCCATACTTATACAGATAAGACAACACCAGCAGCACCCGTGTGCGAAATACGCTCCAGTCGGAAAGCGCACGTAAAATCTCCTAATATAAGTAAGTAAGTACTTACTAAGTAAGTAACCAGCAGCAATGAACGGATGGCAGTCACTGAGTGACTCATGTCTCCTGGACTAAACATTCATTCAGAATGGAGTGAGCTGTAAATAGGTGGACAGTCAGCTTATAACAATATTCCGAAATATTATTGCTGAATGTAATGTATTACTCAGCTGAAATCCTGTGTGGCACCTTTTCGTGTGTGTTTAATATACAGATCCTTACAGTTATTGATAGTTTGATGCCCAGGGCTTTCATGGCGAATTAATGGTTAATTTGCACACTTGTATTCAGTACGATGGACGTGAATGTTTCAGAGTCTCTGTAATCGATTATCGTAGCATATGGAGTGTATATAACCAGGATGTACATAAACCTTACTCGAATTCTC